GGCCTCAAGGAAGGGTGACGAGGCAGAGGGAGGGGACCTAGGGCTGCGTTAGCCCCTTTGGGGCCTGATCCCTGCCCCCCCCAGACCCCTAGAAGTCTTGGCAGTTCAGAGCAGCGGCTTTTACCAAGAATCTGCTGCTTCTCAGTCCTACTGGAGGCGAGCTGCTTTTCTGTCTTTGCCCATGAGATTTTTTTAAAGCCTGCTACCTTACCCTCCTACCTCCCACTTCTTCAAAACAGAACGATGACCTTCCTTTTTTCTTTTTCTCCTCTCAAATCCAGGGTTTTCGCACCCAAATGCGCTTCCTGCAACCAGCCAATTTTGCCAGCACAGGTACGAGACCACCCGTGTTTTATGTTTTATGTGTTGTGTGTATGGACTTGTTCGCTGCCTCCTAAAAATGAGTAAAAAGTGGGCGCTGGTGGGTTTTCTTCAGAAGACAGCCTGGAGGAGCCCCTGCAAGGTGTTCTGCCAGGGGATGGGGTGCTGGACTGGAACTAATCCCCGTTTAGCTCTGGAAAGGCCGTTGAAGGAGGAGTTCTGGTGATCCATCCCTTGAGGGCCTCACATACTGTACTTCGCAAACTCTGTTAAGATCACCCTGAGTTGGAAACATCTTGACAACACATGGAACAGCACGGCCAGGGGTCTTTTGCCAAAACAAATGGAGGGGTGGGGGAAGAAGGCAGCCCCCGGTTGAGGGGGCAGTGGGCCCACCCTGCTCCTGATTTAGGGAAGGACCCCAGACCTCAGGGGGGCTTCGCTGTTTTGCGGGTGCCTCCGTTGTTGTTGGCCCTTCTACGTCTCCAACCCTCTGGATTGTGCTCCTCTTGTCCTTTGGGTCAAGGGGCTCCCACACAGACCCTCCCATTTGAAAAGGATGCGACTTTTCCATCTTTGCATTTGTGAGAAAGAAGAAGAAGAAAACAGAAAGGGGTGACGGGAAAACACTCTACGAGTTACAAGCAAAGGACCCTGTTACCTGGACACGCCTCCAGGCGCGTGTGGTCCCGAGTCTACGAATAAGGCACAGCAATTGTACAAGAGAAAACATCCACCAGACAGAGGTTGGCCATGTTTACAGGAGTGCCACCTGCTTATTCCAGGCAGAAGAGTTGCTTGGGCCAGCAGTCTTCTGGCTTATGTTATAATCCCGTTTCGTGGAAGTTTCTGGTTTACGGCTGACCCAAAATAGAGGGTCTGTGGCTTGTGGGTTCTGGGGTGGGGAGAGTGACCTTCTTTATATTATGTATCTGCGTTGAGGCACCTGTGCAGAAGCCTGACCCACCCCACCCCCCATCCCCACTGGGAACAAAGGAAACCCCCTTCACAGCTGCCAAAACAGTGCCTTTTTCCCCTCAAAAAAACTCAAGATACTTTTGCCAGTCTTTAACACCCTCCTTTGCTCTCCGCTCCAAACCAGGATTCCGAGGAGACCATCCGGGTGGTGTCGATGGACAGGGATTACCATGTGGAATGCTACCACTGCGAGGTAACTCTTGGTCCCTCCACTGGTCGGGATATCCTTTGTGGAGTCCACTTTTCCACCACTGAATTAACACCCTTAGACATTGGTTTAGGCCTTAGTGGATCCCAACCTTGGGTCTTCAGATGTTCATGAACTACAGCTCCCAGAAATCCTGGACAGTTCCCTGAGAGACACTCTGTGTGGAGCATAATGGGCAGAGAGACTACCAGAGCCCTAATGCCTTGCAGCTCCTATGCAGTTTAGCCTCAGCCACCCACTTCTCTATAGTCTTTGTGAAGATTCATCCTGGCTTTATTCCTGAGCTGCAAATGATTCAAAACAACTGAGGGGACCTTGATGTTTCCCCCCTGTTCAATATAAAGCTCTCGAAATTCTAAAGCCCTGAGAATTTTAATGTGTCAAGCATTTGAAAACGAGTCCTGAATAAGACCTGTTTAAAGCAAGCTAAAAGCAAGTGGGAAGGATTAAAAGACTACACTTCTCCTAGGCCTGCCGGACAACCTAACACATGACTTTCTCTCCCTTAGGACTGCGGGCTCCAGCTGAATGACGAGGACGGCCGCCGCTGCTACCCTCTGGAGGGACACCTGCTTTGCCACGGCTGTCACATCAGGCGCCTCGGCGCCAGAGGGTGCCTGCCCCACCCTCCGCCTGGGTATCCGATGCACATTACAGAACTCTGAGGCCTCTCCCTTCCCATCCCCGTGGAACGAGGGGGTTCTCGCCAGAGAGGAGCTCCGCCGGCAGAACAACCGGCCGTATTTATTGTTCAGAGACTGGGGAGAGAAAGAGGAGCACCTTTTCTGACTAGGTTCCAGCGAGCTGAGGAACTCGAGACGCACCGGGTACTTGAAGAGGATTCAACGCACGGTTTTCGTTGCAAAGCGGAACGCTTTCCAATGATGTCGGTTCGAAAGGCCTTCGGTTCGCCTTTTTGGTTCACTTCGGCTCTGTGGAAGTTTCAGTTGCCCACAGCTCTCCGCGGCTGTGCCCTTTGAGGTAGAGAGGAGAAAAACGTGCCTTTTGCACCGGGTCTGATGCCAACCATGGCCTTAGGTGTTTGGGGGGGGGGGAAAGAAAGCAAACGCTTCCTGTTTTGAAGGGCCTTTGTCCCTGTAGGAGACGGGAGAGTCCCGGCTGAAAAGTCTGAGTGGGCTGTTCCCCCCCACCCCCAGATTTTCTTCTTCCCTTGTCCCTCCACTTGTGGTCGTGAGTGAGACATGGAAAGCCTCCTGCATGGGAAGACGGTGTGAAAGGAAAGCACTCGAGAGTTTCTGCACGCCAAGGGGGGGGCTGGGCTGGGCCGGAAGATGCTGGGGAAGGGGGCGCGATTCATGGCACTTACCTGCAAGCACAGATTGGAGAACGGAGCTCAGGGGCGCACAAGCTCTCCCGTTGCAGGGCCAACTCTGAGGAGAGAGACCTTGCACTCAGGCGGTGTCTCATGAGCTGAACGGGGAGGGGGCTGTCCCTTGGCACTAGTTTTGGGGAAAGGGGCTCCCTCTCTCCCTGCCGTGACCACAGCCCCCCCCCCGGGCTCGTAACCATCTGCCGCCTGCGTTCTGCCGCAATGGGTCCAGGGACTTCAAACAACGTTGTCAAGTGGTTGTGGGTTGCAGAAGCATTGTGTGGGGGGGGTGGCAGCTGGAAGCCTTTGAGGGGGTGGCTGCACAGCTGTTTTCTGGGACCGAAGAAGTGACAGCCAAGCAGTAGCCACTTCTTGCACACACACACCCCATGGTGCTGTTTTCTTGGCCGTTGTCTGTCTCGTGTCTGTCTGTGGTCACTTTGGCGGTGCAGCCTAAGCATCACGCACACCTCCGTGTGACAAAGGAGCACATTCCCCAGCGATGTTCACGTCCTGGTGCGTTGTGGTACTTCGCTAAGAAACTCATTTCTGTTGGCGATTCAAGCCCTCTCGATGGTGCAAAATCCTGCTTCCACAGCAGGACGACGCTCAGTCTTGCTGTTGCGTTGTTTCTGATTGGTTTGCAAAGGCAACGCATCCGTGAGTTGGCTTCAGGTTGCAGACGTGTTTTCTCACAGCGTTTTCCCCAAACCAGCTCCCTTTACAGCTGGGCCCTTGAGAATTCCACCATAACGCTTTCACAATTCGTTTTGTGTCAGGAAGCAAATAGCCTTTGATTACCAGAGGGCAGTTTTTCAATTAGCCCTAAGCAGCTGCTCCATGCTTATTTCAAAAAAGAGATGGCAAGTTGCCCCTATCTTCCCCCCAGCTCAGAAAAAGCTGGGATTATTCCATATTTATTAAGGGGTGAGGAAGATGCTCAAACAACCTGTGCCTAGAAGGCTTGCAGCAGAAAATCAACGAGGAAATCCATTTAGACTATTCTCTGCCCAGGGGGTGACTTTATAAACCCACGTTGCCTTGAAAACTCAGGTGAAAAATTCATAATGTGGAAGATGTTCCAGAAGGTCCATAAAATCCACCCATGCTCTTGTTCTGCCTCAGCAGAATCCGTGTTAGTCAGATTATTTCTGTTTTCTTTGTATGTCACATTATCAGCTGCCTTTGGAGACTTACAGTTATAACAAGCACATTGCGCTTATTACCATTCCTTGCGACCTCAGCAGGATCCGTGTTAGATTATTTCTGTTTTCTTTGTATGTCACGTTATCAGCTGCCTTTGGAGACTTAGTTATAATAAGCACATTGCGCTTATTACCATTCCTTGCAACTTCTTAAAAACTGCTTGATGCATGTGTTACCGGTCCTTTACCTTCCTTGTCTTCATATGGTTTTAATTTCCTTTTTCTGTTAAGAGAAGTGGAGTGAAATCTTTGTCTGCCGTAAACAGTTGGTTCTCTGATAATTTTAGCAAAGCAGAAGGCCAGTGGAGAACCTGATGCTTCTGTTCTGAAGCTTTTGCAAACAGCAGATTGTAGACACCGGGGTCAAACGGCTGCAGGATTTATTGCAGGGAAGATCTGAGTTTTCTGCAAAGAGATGCAGTGGGCATATCTGGAAGATTTTCTTTCCCCCATCCTTCTCTTCCAAAGGAGCTGAAGAGCAAAGGATATGTCTGCACTCGCCCCAGTGCAAAGGAGAAATTCAGGATTAATTCTTGACCTGTGCAGGGCATGGCATGTGTTCACAGTGAGTTGATGGATGGCGTTGATCCCAGTTACTCTGGTCTTTCTGTATTCCTGGAGTTTGCTGCATGGAGTTGGTGGGTGAGAAAGAGGGCCTGTTTTTGTGACCGGTGCTAATTCTTGCTTCAAACTTTTGGGGTGTCCTTGTGCAAGAGTCACCAGGTTGTTGTTTTTTTGTCATCGTCTGTCCCATCCTCCACAAATCGAATCAAGCCGGAATGTTAAAATAGCTCAAAGATTGCCTTGTTCTTGTTGGCTGGAAGTGTGGAAACTGGGATGGAAGGAAGGATTTGATAAATTCCTCTCTAGTTGAGTTACCTAGTGCCTTAGTGTTTCAACGTGTCAGTGCCTGCTTCTGCCTTAATCTTCCGTGGAATAGCAAAGATTCTGAAATGTGTTCTGACATGATTGTTTTCTGAACTCCTCCTTCGGAGAAGAAGAATACTTCGTTCCCCTTATTTAAAAGGCTTCCAGTTTATTGACACCACCCCAACCTTTTTTCATGGACCCATAATCCCCATTTAGGCTTGCATGAAAGAAGTTCCATGAGGTCTTAGCAGCAAATTCCTGCGTCTTAACAAACCGGAGGGGTTGCATTGCTGAGGGCGCACCGCCGAGCAGGGCCGGGCCCAGAGGACATTGTTGGTCCCTTGTTGTTAATGAGCTGCAATGTGGCCGCCAGGGGTTGTGTGTTTCCCCTTTAACGTGAGCGTAAATTGACAGTAGGATTCCGGCCACTGGTGTATTAAAATATTTATGTCTAGCAAGACCATGGTTTTTTTAAAAAAAAAACTACCAAGAATGTAGCTGTTACTGTTTCTGTCCTTTTCCCACACAAAACAGGACTGGATCACAGCTCATTAGCCCTTTGTCTTTAAAATGTATTTTTTTTTCGTTCGTTCTTTTTTAAAATAAAATTTGTGTTCATTTCCTTAACTATCTCATTAACCAGGCTGGGGAGGAAGACAATATAGGATTCTTTTTACTTTTTTCTGCTTGAGGGATGGAATATTTCTTCCAATAATGCAACTATTTATTTGAGGTTTTCTTCTTTCTCCTGTCCGTCTCACTGGGTTGTTATTTGCATTTGATGGAAACCAAACCAACAAACACCAGAATTTCGTCCCCTTTTTTTGGTAGAGAGGACATTGAAAGCAAAGAAAGAGGAGAGGTTGGAATCTATGCCGAAGAGCCGCATTTCCCTTTGGTATCACAAGGTCTCAAAAGAAAGAACATTCGTTAAGGACTTAGATGGTTGCTTCAAAACAAGAGGGTGCATGTTTTGGAATTCAGAATTTCAGTAAGAACAACAATGGATGAAAAACGCTCAGCTAAGTTAAACCAAAGCTGTAAAGAAGGCAACCCAAACCTGCTTTCTTATACCCCAATAAGTGTTCGGTTCATAGTCATGCAGCTAATGCCATAACTAGAGTATATAATTTGACTTAAATTAAGTTTTCCTTGAGGAATATTTTCAGTTTCTTTAAAAGAATATAGTTTTCTGCCAAGAACTTGGACCAATGTTGGGGTGGTTTTTTTTATATTGTAGGAAATATATAAATGCCCAATGTGTATATCGTGTCTAGTTTACATGCGGGAGATGTGTGTAGTTCAGTCATGTTTGTATATATCTTTCTGAAACCTCTGGCCTTTTTAGGATATAGATTTGACTCGTCAGGGTTTTGCTGATGTTTCTCCTTGGTTTGGTTTCCTGCATGGTTGAAGAATAAACGCTGGGAAATGTAGATTTTATTTATCTGAAGAAGAAGCTGCTGCTTGCAATTCTCCTAAGTTATTTTAATATTAAAAGTCGGGATTTCATTTAACCTTTAGATGTTACTATATGCTGTTTTCAATAAAGACATTTTGTAGTTATCTCCTGATATTGTAGAGCGTTGCTGAGGAACATGGAGGCCTTTCTTCCAAGCCAAATCCTGGACCATTCCATCCCCCCCTTTAAAAAAAAAAGAAATACTAAAGTTGATTCAGCAAGAGAAAGGTATAGGGCGACTCAAAGCGCAACCAGATGAGCGGGATATAAACAAGCAAACAAACAAACCTTTTTCCCCCCAGCCCAAGATTCTCCTGGACACGGAGGTCGATACTAAATGCATTATTTCAGTCTGCACAGACAGTGGTGCAGTTCTGCCCATGCGCGTGCACATGCGCACGGACACACACACACACAGAATAGACTGTGGATGCTCTTAGTGCAAGATGTAGCCAGTTTACTGTCTGATGTGTCAGGGTCTGATTTCCTGTTGCTTAGTGCTCTTTCTAAACTTTTAAAGTAGTAGCCCTGGATGCAGAATAACCGGAGTTATGCCCTTAAAACATGTCCTCACTCCTCCTTCTGTTTGACCAGTGTGGGTACCAAAGGCAAAAAGATCGAGCAGAAATACCGTCTTATTTTAGTTTAATGTGGATGAACAACCAAACCTGAGGGGAGAAGCCTTAGACGCTTTTAGAAGTGGGAGAAAGGTGTCCAGAAGGAAAACCTTGAAGGAAGGGGAGGGGGAGCGTTTCCTTCTGAGCAAACCACGGAGGACCAACTCAGAATCCCAGGAAGGCAGGATTGAGTCCCAGGTGATCTTGTCACCTGCAAAAAAATCAAGTCTTTTTTTTTCCTTCTGGAAAGAGCTATAAACCGAGTAGGTGGCTGGGCTCCACCCTAAAAAAAAGGAGCGTTGGGAAACTGTCGCTAAGAGATGCTTCGTATTTCCTAGATATCAGTGCTTTCCAAAACCAACTTGTCTAAGGCTTACGCTTCAAAATTTGGTCCAAGGTAAGTAAGAGGGATCACTCCAACGCTGGAGGCATTCAAGGGGAAATGGGACCACCGCCTGTCAGCTCTGCTTCGATCGGGACTCCTGCCTTGAGCGGTGGTGGTGGTGGACTAGATGACCTTCGAGGCCCCCTTCCCGCTCCATGATTCTGTGATTCTAAGACGAGCCTCCGGTCAGCTGTATCTTAAAGAGTCTAAAATTCGAAACAAAATAGAACAGCAGCAAGTGTGGTTCACCTTCACAGATGCCCAAAAATTTGAATGACGGAGTCGCGGTAGAACTGCGTTCCTCAAACGGTGTTCCCGTCAAAAGTACGGCCATGTTGTTTGGAAGGACAACCTGCGAGTTCTCTGCCTTTCTCACAGAGAAGGGTGTCCACAGCCCTTCTTAATTGGGCAAGACCTCACATACTGTAAAGCCAGCTTCTTCGAGAAAGGTAATTCCTTCTCCTACGTAGTTTTTCCCTTGGGAATAAAATACTGTACTTTAAAAAATGCTAGGGAGAGGTGTGTATGTTAAACTCAATGAATATCCTATTATTTTTGTTCAAAGCAGAGATAACTGGAATGTTGATCCTTCAGAAGGGTTGCTGAAAATGAGCTCATCCTGCAACAGAAAAAAGCGCTACAAGGCCCATCTTTAAGGTACGTCTTTATTTATCCAAAGGCTGTAATCTAGCAGTAATACTTTAAAAAAAATCAGCTGCTTTTGTGAATCTAGAATAATGCATTACCCAACTGGATTCAGACCTTAAACCCTAAACTAGTTATATTGCCTTGACTTCCTGCAACTTCAAAGCCTAGCACGGATGGCTTTCTTTTATCCTTTTAACGGATAGGCCTGGTTTGAAATGTTCTAAGAGCTACCGCTGCTGATCCTTAAATCCCTCTCTTTTTACCTTTATTATCAAAGCGAGTGATCTCTCTGTGTGGTATTGTTGTGACCTACCTCTGCAAATATAGGTGGAAAAGACATGAAATGAGATCATGGCGGATCACGAGGGGGGGTGTCGGGCAAGGGGCCAAAGGTAGGTTGGAGCATCTGGGGGGGGCAGGTGATCAGCCTCTTTCTTCCTCCTCCTCTTTCCCCATCTATTCCACCACCACCACCACCCCCGGGAAGAGGGGGGATATCTGGGGTGCCCTCCTGCGGGTCTTTTCTGACACGTAAGCCCTTGATCAATATTTGCTTAAATGGCCTTTACCACCCATGAGGTCCTATTGTTCCTTGTCTCTGAAAACAGAGAAACTGCTTCTGCATTTTTTAAAGGTAGCCAAGGCAGCATCTGAGGAATGCAGAGGGGGGGGGAACGACGACACACACACACACAACAGCAATGCATTAAACAAGCAAAGGCTCCATGGTCCCGATTGATCCAGAAGGCTTTCCAACGGATGTCGTCACATCTTCCCGGAGCAGGCGAGCGTCCTCAAAAGGAACGAATGCATTTCAGATATTTTCAGAAGACTCCCGACATGCCGACTTAACTTTAAAACAGAACATGAAAGCCCTGTTCCTTCCCAGAATATTGATGAATGCATGCACCCTTAACACAAAGGTGTGTGTGGCTTCTGCTTATTTCAATCAGGTGGACTCACCTGAGAGTTTCTCCTTTTAAAAGAGGGGTCCTTTTAAAAATTTGAAGTAATATTTTGGTGAATTCCCTCACCCCCTTCAATAGAAT